TACGTAAACATGGGTTCAGTTTATAATTGAGAGTACACGTAAAAATCAGTTGGGTTTATACTTGAGTCTGTACGCAAACACCTGGTGGATTTAAACTTGAGCATATACGTAAACGTATGGCGAATTTATACACGAGATTTTTTTCGTAAACATCGAGCGGGTTTATAATTGAGTCTATAATTAAATAACGGTCGCATTTACACTTGAGTCTACACGTAAACATCGGTCGGCTTTATACATTAGCAATTGAAAAATTACTTACATATTGCTGTCGTTTTTTGGCTGTACTGGTAAACTAGTATACATATAATTGTTTCCGATATTTATTTCGAAGAATGTATATATTTTACCGATTTTGCTTTGAACCAAATTTGCTTTTCGCCGTGGATTCCTATGCTGATTCCACGTCTCCCAGCACCGACCCCACAGACTTGGAAGAAAGGAAAAGAAACTTGGCGATAAGATTAATCACGTAGGATAAAAATCCATACTTAGTGTTAGCGATAAAGCGAAGCGGGAAATGATCATGTTCGCGCGTTAACTGAGCCAAATATGGCGACCAACAGAAACCTTAATATTCTGCCAGCCTTGCTTTTGTACTCCCATTGACATTTGTCTTTTTATTTCTGTCCATCCCACACAGTCTATTTATTTCTGTCTGTGTCCATCGCCGACGATATTTACTGGAGCTAAATCATGCGGAGAGATTCAATAACATGGCTGCCATCTTGTCGAATCTTGGTACGCCACACAATTTCAGATTCATCTTGCCCACTTCATCGCTTTTTTTTTTTTCTGTCTTCTAGGGCGTCTTTTGTGGGCGTTGACTCGTGAATCTGCGCCGGCCAAAATCGGCGTTTAGCAAAGCCGACCACAACGCAGGGACGTAAATATCTTTTTAAGTGAACAGTGGAACGTACAAAATAGGATAAATAATAAATAAGCAGCAAAAATATAAAATAGAGTTTAAAGAAGGTCGCACATTGGCCTGCTGAAACGATCCAATTAAAAAACCGTCTTCAGTTTATAAAAAATAACGGCAAAATAAAAAAACAAACAAACCCCCAAACCCCACCGATTTTCCGGCACCACAAACTCTACGATGGTGCCGGATTATCCGATTTTATATTACAGAAGCAAAAAATAATAATTCTCTGAGAAACTTCTTACATATTAATTACATAAAATTCTGTGACATCCGTTAGTCCGTCGCAACCTCTAAAATAGTCATACTGTAGTAAACAAAACAAGATCTAGATTTAAAATTCAAATGCTAAGCACTGACTCGTTGATTTTGTTAGAAATTAAAAAGACTCGAATTTACAAACTTTGCTTAACACACACGCAAAAGCGAATCCAAATCAAAACTCGTGAAATTTCACACCTTGATGCGAAATGTTTTTTCGGACAATAGAAAACTAGGGGAAACATTTAAAAACAAAATTCAAATAAATTTCAATTCTCAGAAACAAATTCTTTTATTTACCTCTTCGCGAGCCGACGCGAAGTTTGTTCATCGTCTAATGGAAAAGCCTGAATCATATCCGAGATGATGAATTCCAAATGACCTTTTCAAGCCCCACAAACAAAATAAAAGACGAGCAAGTTCGCCTGTCACCAGAGAGAAGGAGACGAGCACATTAACACGTCCCTTGACAAACGTCAAGCGATCGTTATTATTATCTCTACCTTTCTTCCTCACCTCTTTTATACTTGTTAAACGAACGGAACATTTTAAGACTGAGCGATTACTTCAAAGACATTCCTACTCTACGACAATCATCATACATACATACATACATACATACATACATACGTTCCTGCCTACGTACACATAAACTCGTTCTTGCAAGGACTAATACGAAGATTTTGACGACCTTGTATCAACCAAAATACATTGATTTTATTTGTAGAGACCTTAATTGTTTTATATGCACATAATTTTTTTTGTTTCATTTTACAATTTGATTTTCTTGTTTTATACCCCTCTTATAGTGGGCTATCTAACTAACAAGGCCAAATCAAACTAATCTGTTTCAACACTCATACACTTCACAATAACTGATAAGCCACTATAAATTGGTGAACCCCGACGTCCAAAAACAAATTTTCAACCACAAGAACAATGGCAGAAAAAGGAAACGATACAGAAAAAATGATCATCAACCAGGATCCATCCATACAAGCTGTGACCATCAAAACACCTGTATTTATTGAATCCAATGTAATCGCCTGGTTTGCTATAATGGAAGCACAGTTCTGCATTGCAAACATAAAACAAGCAAGACAATAATTCTACCTCGTTTTTTCACTCTTCCTCCAGAAATAGTAGGAAGAATAACGACAAATATATTACACTCAGAAGACTACGATACCTTGAATGAAGCCGTAATCAATGGACATGAAAAGTCGAAACCAATGCCCGACAAACTGATGCCATCTTTAGCAATATCAGGACGACCTTCGACTTTTATTAAACGAATTGATCTCATTATGTAGT